GGGGGGGGTTTTAATTTTTTTTAAAAAATTTTTTTTTAAAAAAAGGGGGGAAAACCCCCGGCCAAAAATTTTAAGGGGGGGGAAAAAAAAAAAAAAAAAATTTTTTTTGGGGGGGCCCTTTTTTTAAGGGGGGGTTTTTTTTTTGGGGGGGGGTTTTTTTTTTAAAAAAAATTTTTGGGAAACCCGGGGTGGCCTTTTAAAAAAGGGGGGGGGAAAAAAAAAAACCCCCTTTTTTTAAAAAAAAACCAAAAAGTAAGGTTTAAAAAAATTTTTTAAAAAAAAATTTTTTTTAAAATTTTTTTTTGGGAAACTTTTAATTTCCCTTTTTTTTTTTAAGGGGTTTTAAAAAGGGGGGAAAAAAAAAAACCCTTTTTTAAAAAATTTTTTTTTTTTTTTTAAAAAAAACCCCCCCCCCCCAAAAAAAAAAAGGGGTTTAAAGGGGGCCCCTTTTGGGGGGGGTTTTTTTCCCCCCCAAAAAAAGGGGGGGGGGGAAGGGGCTTAAATTTGGGGGGGGGGGGGTTTAAAATTTTTTCCCCCCCCCCACCGGGGGGGGTTTTTTAAAAAAAAAAAAATCCCCTTTTTAAAAAAAAAAATTTTTTTGGGGTTTTTTAAAAGGGGGGGCAAGGAATTTCCCCCCCCAAAAAAATTGGGGTTTTGGGGGTTGGGGGGGCCTTTTTTGGGGGTTTTGGGGAAAAAAAGGGAAAGATTTTTTTTGGGGAAAAAATTTTTTAAAAAAAATTTTTCCCCCAAAAAAGGGGTTTTTTTTAAAAAAAAACCCCGGGGGGGGAAAAAACCAAAAAAAATTTTAAATTTTTTAATTTTTTTTATGGGGAAAAAAAAATTTTGGGAAAAAATTTTTCCAAAATTTTTTTTTTTGGGGGTTTTTTTTAAATTTAAATTTTTTAAAAAATTTTTTTTTTTTTGGGGGGGGGGGAAAAAAAAACCCCCTTTTGTTTTGGGGCCCCCCCCCCCAAAAAAATTTTTTTTTTTTTGGGGGGGGGAATTGGCCCCAAAAAAAGGGGGGGGTTTTTTTTTTAAAAAAAAAAGGCCCCGGGGTTTTTGCCCCCTTTTTTTTTTTTTTTCAAAAACCCAAATTAAAAAATTTTCCCTTTCCCTTTTTTTGGGGGAAAAAACCCCAACCAAAGTTTTCCCCCTTTTTTTTTTTTTGGGGAAAAAAATTTTTTCCCCAAAAAAAAAAAAAAAAAATTTTTTTTTTAACCCCAAAACATTTCCCAAAACCCCCTTTTTAAAATTAAAAAAATTTAAAAAAAAAAATTTTTTTTTTTTTTTTTTTTGGGTTTCCCTTTTGGGTTTTTTTGGGGGGGTTTTTTTAAAAAAATTTTTCAAAAAAATTTTTTTTTTGGGGGGGGGGTTTTTTTGGGGGGAAAAAGGGGCCCCCCCAAACCGGGGTTTTCCCTTTTTTCCCTTTTAAAAAAAACCCCCCCCCCCTTAAAATTTTTTTTTTGGGGGGGGGTTAGGGGGGGAAAAAAAAAAAGGGGGGGGGGGTTTTTTTTTTCCCCCCGGGGGGGGGGTTTTGGGGGGGGGGGTTTTTTTTTTAAAAAAATTTTTTGGGGGGGGAAAAAGGTTGGGAAGGGGGGGGGGGAAAAAAAAAAAGGGGGGAAATTGGGGGGAAAAAAGGGGGGGGTTTTTTAAAAACCCCCCCAAAAAGGGGGGAAAAAAAAAAAAAAAATTTTTTTGGGGGTTTCCTTTTTTGGGGTAATTTTTGGGGGTTTTTGGGGAAAAAAAAAGGCCCTTTTTTTAAGGGGAAACCGAAAGGGGGGAAAACCCTTTTTAAAATTTTCCCCCCCTTTTAAAAAGAGAAAAAAAAAACCCCCCGGGGGGGGTTTTTTTTTTTTCCCCCGGGGGGGAAAAAAAAAGGGGGCGGGGGTTTTTTTTATTAAAGGAAAAAAAAAAAAATTTAAAAATTTTAAAATTTAAAAACCCCCGGGGAAAAAAAAAAAAAAAGGGGGGCCCCCCCAAAAAGGGGGGTTTTGGGGGGGGGGGAAAAAAAAAAAAACCCCCAAAAAAATTTTTTAAAAAAAAAAACCCCAAAAAAGGGGGGGCCCCCGGGGGGGCCCCCCGGGCCCGGGGGGGGAAAATTTTTTTTTTGGGGGGTTTTTTCCCCCGAACCCCCAAAAAAAAAGGGGGAAAAAAAAAGGGGTTTTTTTTTTTAAAAAAAAAAAAAGGGGAAGGGGGGTTTAATTTTCCCTTTTGGGTTTTGGTTTGGGGGGGGGGAAAAAAAAGGGGGGTTTTTTTAAAATTTTTTTTTAAAGGGGGGAAGGGGTTTGGGGGTTTTTTTAAAATTTTAAAAGGGGGGGGGGGTTTGGGGGGGGTTTTTTTTTTTTGGGGGGGCCCCCTCCCTTTTCCCCCCCCTTTTTAAAAAAAAAAACAAATTTAAAAATTTTTTTGGGGGCCCCCCCCCCGGGGTGGGTTTTTTTTCGGTTCCAAAAAGGGGGCCCAAAAAAAAGGGGGAAAAAAAAAAAAACCCCAAAAAAATTTTTTGGGCCCCAATTAAAACCCCCAAAAAACCCCCCAAAAGGGGGGGACCCGGGGGTTTTTTAAAAAAAAAAAAAGGGGGAAAAAAAGGGAAAGGGGGGAAAAAGGGGGGAAAAAAAGGGGAAAAAACCCCCCAAAAAACCCTTTTTTTTCCCCCCCCTGGGAAAAAAATTTTTTTTTTTGGAAAAAACCCCGCCCCCTTTTTTTCCCCCCCCCAAACCCCCCCAAAAAAAAAAAAAAAAATTTAAAAAAAAAAAATTTTTTAAAAAAAAAAAAAAGGGGGGGGGATTCTTTGGGTTTTTGGGGGGGAAAAAAAGGGGTTTTCCCCCCCGGGGCCCCCCAAAAAAAAAAAAACCCCCCCCCCAAAAAAAAAAACCCCCAAAATTTCCCCCCAAAAAAAAAGGGTTTTCCCCCGGGGTTGGGGCCCCAAAAAAAAAACCCCCCCGGGGAAAAAATTTTTTTTTGGGGGAAAAAAGGGAAAAAGCAGGGGGAAAAAAAATTTCCCCCCCGGGCCCCCAAAAAAAAAGGGGGGAAAAACCCCCCAAAAAAACGAAAACCCCCCCGGCCCCCGGGAAAAACCCCTTTTTTTGGGGGAAAAAGGGGTTTGGGGGCCCTTTTTTTTGGGGGGCCCCCCCCGGAAAGGGTTTGGGGGAAAAAAAAGGGGGAAAAATTTAAAAAACAAACCCCCTTTTTTTCATTTTTTTAAAAAAAAGGGGGGGTTTTTTTTTTAACCCCCCGGGGGGGGCCCCCCCAAACCCGGGGCCAAACCCCGGCCATTCCCCGGCCTCCCCGGGCCCCCCCATTTTTTTTTTAAAAGGGGCCCCCCAAAAAAAACCCCCCCGGGGGGGTTTTTCCCTTTTTAAAAAGGGGGCCCTTTTCCCCCGGTTTTTGGGGTCCCCCCCGGCCCCCAATTTTTTTAAAAAAATTTAAAAAAAAATTTTTTTTTCCCCCCCCCCCCGGTTTTCCCCCTTTTTCGGTTTTTTAATTTTTCCCCCCTTTTTTTTTTTTTTGGGGAAATTTCCCCCCCCTTTTTTTTTTAAAAAATTTTTTTTTTTAAAAATTTATTAAAAAATTTGGGGGAAAAAAAAATTTTTTGGGGGGGGAAAAAAAATTGGGGGGTTGGAAATTTTTTTTTGGTTTTTTAAAAAAAAAAAAAAAACCTTTGGGAATTTAAAAACCCCTAAATTTTTTTCCCCGGGGGGAAAAAAACCAGGAAAAAAAATTTTTTTTTTTTTTTTTGGAATTCCCAAAATGGTTTTTAAAAAAAGGGGTTTTGGGGGGGGGGGGCCCCCCTCCCCTTTTTTTCTATTTTAAAAAAAAAAAAAATTTTTTTTTTTCTTTTTAAAAAAAACCCCCTTTTTTTTCCCCCCCCCTTTCCCCGGGCCCCCCCTTTTTTTTTTCCCCCCCCCCCCAAAAAAAAAAAGGGGGGAAAAAAAGAACCCCCCCCAAAAAAGGGGGGAAAAAAAACCCCCCCCCCCTTTTCCCAAAATTTTGTTTTAAAAAAAAAAGGGGGGGGGAAAAAACCCCGGGCCTTTTAAAAAAAATTTTTTAAAAAAAAAAAGGAAAAACCCCCCTTTTTTTTCCCCCCCAAAAAATTTTTTTTCCCCCCCCCCCTTGGGGGGGAAAAAAACCCCCCCCCCCCCCCGGGGGGGGGGGGGGGGGGCCCCCCCCTTTTGGGGGGGGGGGAAAGGGGCCCCCGGGGGGCCCCGGGGGGAAAGGGAAAAGGGGGAAAACCGGGGGCCCCCGGGGGGGGGGGTTGGGGGGGGGGAAGGGTTCCCCGGGGGGGGCCCGGGGGGAAATTTTGGGGGGTTTTTTTTTTTGGGGGGAAAGGGCCCCCATTGGGGGGGGGGAAAACTTTTTTTTTTTTAAAAGGGGTTGGGTGGGGGCCCCCCCCCCCCCCCCGGCCCCAAAACCCCCCCCTAGGGCCCCAAAAACCCCAAAAAAAAAAAAAAGCCCTTTTTCCCCTTTTCCCAAAAATTTTTGGGGGAAAAAAAAAGGGGGGGAAAGGGGGGGCTGATTTTTTTTTCCCCCAAAATTAAATTTTCCAAAGGAAACCCCCAAAAAAAATTTTTTAAAAAAAAACTTTGGGAAAAAACCCTTAAATTTTTTAAAAAAATTTCCCTTTTTAAAAATTTTTTTTTCCCAAAAAAAAAGGGGGAAAACCAAAAAAAAAAAAAAAAAAAGGGGGTTTTTTTTAAAAAAAAAAAAAATTTTTTTTTTTGGGGTTTTTTTTTAAAAAATTTTTCCGGAAAAATTTTTTTAAAAAAAAAAAAAAGGAAAACCCCCCCCCCAATTTCCAAAATTAATTTTTAAAATTTAATTTTTAAAAAATTTTTGGGAAAAAAACCCCCAAAAAAAAAAATTAAATTTTTAAAATTTTAAAAACCCCGGGAAAAAAAATTTTTAAAAAACCCCGGAAACCCAAAACCCCCCTAAACCCCAAAAATTTTAAAATTTTTTTTTAAAAAAAAAAAAAAAAAAAAAAAAGTAACCTTTGGGGAAGGGCCGTGGAAGAGGTCCGGAGGGGGGCCACAGAGGTTCTGGAGGGGGAACAGAGGCAGGCGCTCAGCCAGGCCGAGGGCATCCAGACCCACCTGGAGCAGAAGAGCCTAGAGCTGAAGAAGACCCTGGCCAGAGTGGAAAGACTCTTCAGGAACAAGACGGACGTGGACTTCCTGCAGGTGAGAGACTGGGGCTCCCGGGTGAAGCTTCCCATTTTTACTTTTTTTATTTTTTTAACATTTTAGTCATTTAGCAGACGCTCTTATCCAGAGCAACTTACAGTTAGTGAGTGCATACATTTTTATTTATTTTTCATACTGGCCCCCCGTGGGAATCGAACCCACAACCCTGGCGTTGCAAACGCCATGCTCTACCAACTGAGCTACACAGACCTAGGATCAGTTTCCCCTCCTCCAAACCTAACCTTAAATTGAATCCATTTTAAATTCAGGCTGTAACACAACACAATGTGGAAAAAGTCAAGGGGCATGTATTCTATTGGTTGATGGTATATACTGCATCATACTGCGGTCTTTGGAAGTGCCTGACTGCTCATTTGACTCATTCTGAACCCTATCCTGAGAGGACTACTGTATTAATCCATTTACCTCTTACCCTTTGCCTCAGCTTTCCCCTATGATCTGTTAAATATTGTCTTGGTCAGTAATTTTGACTCGTCAATGTTTATTGTGGCTGTCAGTGTGTTGACAGTGTTAGGGAAGTGACAGGACAAGTGCCAAGGAAATCCAAGTACTAGGCCCTGGTGGGAAGAGCTATAGGAGGATGGGCTCATTGTAATGACTGGAATGGAATTAATGGGTTTCCATATGTTTGATGTGTCAAATGTGGTTTCCATATGTTTGATGTGTTTGATACCTTCCATTGATTCCATTCCAGCCATTAGAATGAGCCCATTCTGCTATAGCTCCTCCCACCAGCCTCCACTGCTTACCATAGACACTTCATTTAGATCTTAAAATAATTTGATAGGTATAAACAGTATAGCCAAGAACCTACCAAGTCTATTCAAGGGAAAGCAATACTACCATATTGCTTTTACCTATCTGAAATGTCTAGGGGGTAGAGGCTAGGGGTTATTTCTGGATGGGGCCCTATTGTGCATCCCAAATGGCACCCTATTTCTCATATAGTGTACTACTTTATAGTACACTACTTTGCATGCTGTGATGGAGCATTTGCAAAAGTAGTGCACTATAAAGGGGATAGGGTGTCATTTGGGAAACATCCATAGTTTTCTTAGTAATGTGAGTGACAGTATTGTGAGTGGCTCCTCCTACTGGTGAATGTAGGAATACTCAGAGTGGAAGACGGGGGTAGTGGATGTCTGTCTGCCTGAGGTCTGCATTGGCCTCACAGATCGCCTGGCCTCCTTCAGCTGCCTGCTCACTGAGTCCACCCAGGAACTGTGTGACCAGCTCAAAGCTACCTACAGGAACAAACTGAAGGACATCTGCAAGACTGGTGATGAGTGTACACATTTTAACCAGGGCCGTGTTCATCAGGCACCAAACAGAACAAAACTATAGAAACTTTCGTTTTCGGTTTATTTTTACATTTTCCGTTTCGTGACATAATGAAAACGACCCAGGTTGTTATTGTAAAAGAGAATATGTTCCCAATGACTTGGCTAAATCAAAGTTAAATAACTGTTGGATTAATATCCATAGTCTTCCCAATGCATTGTATCATAGAGAGTTCTCTATGTATTACCTGGAGGATAACTCCCATTTCTCCTACACTGACCTACAGAGAAACTGGGCATTACAACCATGGTCCATCCCAAGATGCCTGAGCCTGAGACGCGAGATGACTTCCTCAAGCGTAAGATGTCTTTTTTATTACATTAGCAACAATGACATTTTTTATTTACATAGCTAGTGCTCTTCACAATGAGCTAACCCTTTTGAGAAATAGCCTGACTTGGTGTAACCTTTCACGTGTATTATAGCGACTTAGATAACCTTAGAATAAGCATGTGTGTGTTTGTATTGTCCCTGCATGTGTCCTATGCTGGCAACAAATCCAATTTCCCCTCTGAGGATGATTAAAGTTTATTCAATTCAATGTGTCTACTTGGCAGATGCCAGCAGTCTGACCTTTGACCCAGACACTGTCCACAAGTTCCTGAGACTAACGGAAGACAACAGGAAGGTGACTAACACCACGCCCTGGCAGCACAGCTACCCAGACACGCCCGAACGCTTCGAGTACTGGCGTCAGGTGATGACCTCAGAGAGCCTCTACCTGGGCCGACACTACTTTGAGGCAGAGCTGAGCGGGGAGGGCGTGCACGTGGGACTCACCTACAAGAGCATCGACCGGAAAGGCGTGGAGAGCGGCAGCTGCATCACAGGAAATGACTTCTCGTGGAGCCTCGGAAGGGAGGGGCGGAGCTTTTCCACTTGGCATGCTGATATGGAGGCTGTCGTGGAAGCCACAAGAGTGTTCACAAGGATTGCTGTCTACATTGACTTTGACTCAGGCTCATTAGCTTTCTATGGTGTGACTGACGCCGCTATGACACTCCTCTACAGGTACAAGGCTGAGTTCATGGAGCCCTTGTATCCTACTGTCTGGCTCTCAAAGAAGGACAATGTGGTGTTATTGATCGGCCCTAAGGACCCCCCACTAATGAAGAGCTCAACTCTGCCTGCCACCCCCATCACTCTCATAGCAACATCCGCTCCTGTCACTCCGGAATCATAATACTTTGACTGCAGTAGTGTAGTTAGGTTAGAGAGGCGGACCAGAACACATTTCTGTTTCCCACAAATATAATAAAGTATCTATTCTATTCATAAGAAGTTGCCTGAAGTGACTGATACTGTACTTATTTAACAGGACACAGCATCGAGTATCACAAGACAGCAAACACAGACTTCACAGGGGGTGTCTGCTCTCATCTAGTGGTGATATGGAACAAAACATATTGTGTTGGTATGACACTGAGGGATTGATTAATAACTTTTTAACTGCTCATTTTATTGGATCTGGTTAGCAAGTGACTGACTTACTAACTGCTGTGATTGGTCTGGCAATTGGCATTAAAAAGTACATTAAGTGTTCACATACTATGTTTATTTGACATTGTGCTGAGTACTTACTACTGAGATGAGTTAAAGGACTGTCTTTCATTTTTGTGTCCATGGTCAATCCACTGTAAATCATATTAACAATGTGACAAAGCTTTTGTAAAATCTTTTCAGAATCGATTCACAAATATGAATTGCTTGACTTTTTAAAATACCTAATACTTAATATGAATTTAAGCATGAAACATATTCTTTATACATTTCAGATACATTACAACACGTAAGAAATTATTCTCATAAGAATGGGCACGTAATATTAACAGATACCATGACACAAAGTTTCAGGCAGTGAAATCGATTGAGGTCTCGTTATCATCATACGCGGGGTTAACAAAATGCACACCTGACTGTGTCAGGGAGATAGCGTTGGCGGCTTCACTCCCATAGATACCTGGTACTTCGGGCATCATAGTGGGCTTGTCGAAGATAGGGTTTTCAAAGCCGTGGTCTGTGAAGTCCCCGATATCCTCCTGACTTCTCTTCATGCTGCTCAGAGAAGGGATGGAGATTGTGGGCATGGTTGGCATTTTTATGATGCCTCTGCGGAAGAGGACAGCCAGGAGGGGAAGACCAACGACTACTATCAGGACCCCGAACACGGCTCCCACCACCACTGCTGCGTTGCCCCCTGCCCTGTCACCACTGGTGGCCCCAGAGGAGGCCTGGAACTCAGCCCCGGTTATGCCCAAGTTTGAGCCCTGGGCTTGGACGTCCTTCAATATGTCCCGAGCCAGGGCCTCTGACACCGCACCAGACTCACCATCCAGGAGCACGATCTGGATCTCGGCGGCAGCCGCACGTGGGATTACACCGAGGAAATACTGGGATTTGAGCACCTTGGACATGCCTAGCTGGATGGACTGGTACGAGGGCAGACCAAGGAAGAGGTGCTGCAGTCGATTCCAATAAGACTCCAGGTTGAAGCCTGAGGAATACTGGACGGTGACGATGGCACCACACACGTCGCAGCAGTGTCCCGTGGGGTACAGTGGCTTCTTACAGTTCATAGGAGTACATGTCACGGTGCCACAGATCCTTTTGTGATTCACAGAGTTCCCACAGACACAGCCAGAGGCGTCATCGCAGCCAGAAACCCCAACGCTGGGGGACGAGGTGCCGTGGAACTGCAGCCGGCCAGAGAGCGAACCCAGATACTGGGTAAACTCCGAGCTGCTGCTGAACTTCTTCCCCAGCACGGACACACTCTGGACGGGGACGCTGAACTGGTTGGAGGTGGTGTCCACGCGGAACGAGGAGCCGGCACGGAACAACACGTCGTCGTACTGGCATGGCACGCTCTCCTCGTGTACCGAGAACAGGAAGCGACCTTTCTCCAGGTCATCTAAAGATGCCGCCGCCTGCCACAGCGCCGGGTCGAACCACTGCAGAGACTCTGCATCTTTGAACTGGGCGGTGACGCCCGCCCCGCAACCGGGGTCCCCTCCGTTACTGACCGTGAAGCCTCCCCCCGAGGGAAGGATGAACTCCCCGTCCACCGGTAGCCGCATCTCCTGGACGGAGTGGACCGTCTCCACGTACACAGACACTTTCCTCAGAGCCGAGAACTGCACTATGTCGTTGCCGCAGGGCATGGACCCTTTGTCCCAGTTGGTCTTGTTTTCATAGTTAGTGTCGGGTATCCACTGCTTGTACAGGGCGTCAGCTGCCTGGAACAGACAGAGACCGAGGAGAAGAAACACGGCTGGTGTTTTTGTCATCCTGAATGCTTGTGACAGAAGTGGTTGGACTTCGGGGTGACCTTTGTCTCTGACAGTGTGACTGTCACATGAGGTTCCCACATGATGAAGTTGATGAGCTCTGGTAGACACTCATCTTTACCGCCTGGTCACCAGCTTGGTCAAAGATTAACTGCTGCTGCAGCCGCAGCAATAATTCCCCAAAATAACAGTGTAGATGTCTCTATGAAAGAAAAAGTGATTTGATTTAGGCCTACAGATTTACATAACCTTTATGCCTAAAAACTGTATGGCGAAAACGGTATAGTGTAAAAGAAATTGCATCTAAAGTAAAAGTAAAAGCTGCTATAGTGATGTTTCTTGTGACCAGCGGTGGAATTGAAGAAAAAAAAAAAGTAATTGGGAACTCATCAATGTAAAATGCAAACATTCTATTTTTTTAAAATTGGCTAACTGTTCGAATGCACTCCCTTGATTGTGACCAGTCATTTAAGGCAGGGTTTCCCAAACTCGGTCCTGGGGCCCCTCCTGGGTGCACGTTTTGGTTTTTGCCCTAGCACTACACAGCTGATTCAAATAACCAACTCATCATCAAACTTGTATTATTTAAATCAGCTGTGTAGAGCTAGGGCAAAAACCAAAACGTGTTTGGAAAACCCTGGGCTGCGTTCAGTACGTTTTCACGTTCTCGAACGTTCAGTTGAACAGAAACGTTGCTGTACTGAACCACCAGTTGAAAAACAGGGACAGGTTGGGGAACACTGTCAGCATGGCCACTGACCTTTAAATACGTCACTCATTGCTTCAAGCCACACCCACCAAACGGGAGCAAACCTTTAGATACAGTCATTGGCGTAAACGTACTTCAAAGTCTGTTCAAGAACGTTTTGCAGAAACGTGTCGTTCAGCACAAACCGTTCTGGAACGTAGCAAACGTTCAAGCGAATTGAACGCACCTCTGATTTAAGGGTCGGTGTGGCCGCTATACATATCGGTGGCGGATTCCCTTACTTGGAGGTGAGACGCTTTGCAGATGATCAACGTGGGTATGAAATGAAACCATTCAAAATTAATTACCTGAAAATTATCAGCCTAATCACCAAGCAGTAAATTATGTTCAAGTTGAGGTAAAGATATCGCCTTATAAATTAACTTATACAATTTTCTATACAATTTGTGATATCGTGGTACTCTGTAGCTCAGCTGGTAGAGCACGGCGCTTGTAACGCCAAGGTAGTGGGTTCGGACCACCCACCCACACACACAAAAAAAAATCTATGCACGCATGACTGTAAGTCGCTTTGAATAAAAGCGTCTGCTAAATGGCTTATTATTATTATTATTATTATTATTATTATCATCAGATTTCACATCACGTTGTAATCAGGCAACTTATTTAGCCACAAATGAGTGGGGTCCTTCACACAAGCATGTTTGTTGTTTACCTACGCGTCATCCGGAAGTGAGTGTCAAAGATGAGACTGGTGAGATCTTTCTATTTTCAAACAAATAAGTTGTTTTATATATTTAATTATTGATAACACTATGCCTGGTAACGCTTTACTGTTCAAGTTGCTCTCGTGGCGTTTTTCGTAGCTAACGATAGGCTCACAGAAGTTGGGCAACACAAAGTTAGCTAACTAGCTAACAGCTAGCTAGCTTGCTAACTTACTGCACTTTTGTTCTTTTAGCTAGTTAAATAATAAATAATAATATGCCATTTAGCAGACGCTTTTATCCAAAGCGACTTACAGTCGTGCGTGCATACATTTTTGTGTATGGGTGGTCCCGGGGATCGAACCCACTACCTTGGCGTTACAAGCGCCATGCTCTACCAGCTGAGCTACAGAGGACCACAAGTTAGCTACGTTTTATGCAATTACTTTAATAGATACAACTTTGTAAGGTTTTAAACCGAACTATTTAGCTAGAATACACAAATTACCCCAGAGCCATCTAGTTAGTGTCACTCACTATCATGTCAGTTCGTTAGATGTACAGTAGTAGCTATCTAGCCTCATAAAAATGAGCCTTGCTTGACAGCTCATTTCTTTCTTGAAAGGATTCACAGGAGGCAGATGCTCCACTCTTTGGTGAAGACGATGATGATGCCCCCACCGCCGTCAGACAGAAGAAATCAGAAATCAAGTCAGTTTTGGAAGTTGATTCTGTATTGATGAGGAGTAACAGAACAAACTGATGTTCATTTCAACCCGTATCAGCTATTCTGATCTACAAGAGAGGTTGTTTTGCTGTAAATGTGAACTCTTCCTCGTGTGTGTGTGTGTGTGTGTGTGTGTGTGTGTGATCAAAACCTGCTCTTGTTTTAGGCATCCCCTGGCCACGTTCTTCCACCTCTTCTTCCGCACCAGTGCCATTCTAGTCTACCTACTGTGTGAAATCCTGAGCAGTAGTTTCATCGTCTGCATGGTCACCATCATCCTCCTCCTTTCATGTGACTTCTGGACAGTCAAGGTGGGTTGTCACAGTTTGATGTGGTACAACTTAATTAGGCTATACCCTTTTCACACTAACATGCTGGCAGGATATTTCCTTTTCACATTGTCCTTTCAAGCATGTTTCCAGCAACTATGTTGGATGTGTAACCAGGCCAGGCTAGCCCAGCACAGCTCGACGGAGTTGTGTGAAAAGGGTAAAAGTTGCCTTTTGTTTTTTATTCTGTGTGTGTTTATAGGTCCAGTTGGTGAGTAATCCTATTGTGTTTCTTTCTCAGAATGTGTCTGGCAGGTTGATGGTCGGCCTCAGGTGGTGGAACCAGGTGGATGAGGATGGACAGAGTCACTGGGTGTTTGAGTCCAGACCAGTACGGTTGCACTATAGTTCATGACTGGAGTTGTAGTTGTGCCTGTCTATTAGTTTAGTTTAGTTCTAGTTAATTTATTCGCACACAAAGACAAGTGAAAAACAAACAGTGCAGATAAACAAGGTAAAAAGGTGTGCAGGTGAGGTTGGAAATCCAAGAGGGCTTATATGAAAATCACACACACAAAAAAAAGATACATATATATATATATACACACACAGTGAGGGGAAAAAAGTATTTGATCCCCTGCTGATTTTGTACGTTTGCCCACTGACAAAGAAATGATCAGTTTATAATTTTAATGGTAGGTTTATTTGAACAGTGAGAGACAGAATAACAACAACAAAATCCAGAAAAACGCATGTTAAAATTTTTATTATTATTAAATTGATTTGCATTTTAATGAGGGAAATAAGTATTTGACTCCCTCTCAATCAGAAAGATTTCTGGCTCCCAGGTGTCTTTTATACAGGTAACGAGCTGAGATTAGGAGCACACTCTTAAAGGGAGTGCTCCTAATCTCAGCTTGTTACCTGTATAAAAGACACCTGTCCACAGAAGCAATCAATCAATCAGATTCCAAACTCTCCACCATGGCCAAGACCAAAGAGCTCTCCAAGGATGTCAGGGACAAGATTGTAGACCTACACAAGGCTGGAATGGGCTACAAGACCATCGCCAAGCAGCTTGGTGAGAAGGTGACAACAGTTGGTGCGACTATTCGCAAATGGAAGAAACACAAAATACCTGTCAATCTCCCTCGGCCTGGGGCTCCATGCAAGATCTCACCTCGTGGAGTTGCAATGATCATGAGAACGGTGAGGAATCAGCCCAGAACAACACGGAAGGAACTTGTCAATGATCTCAAGGCAGCTGGGACCATAGTCACCAAGAAAACAATTGGTAACACACTATGCCGTGAAGGACTGAAATCCTGCAGCGCCCGCAAGGTCCCCCTGCTCAAGAAAGCACATATACAGGCCCGTCTGAAGTTTGCCAATGAACATCAATGATTCAGAGGCGAACTGGGTGAAAGTGTTGTGGGCAGATGAGACCAAAATGGAGCTCTTTGGCATCAACTCAACTCGCCGTGTTTGGAGGAGGATGAATGCTGCCTATGACCCCAAGAACACCATCCCCACCGTCAAACATGGAGGTGGAAACATTATGCTTTGGGGGTGTTTTTCTGCTATGGGGACAGGACAACTTCACCGCATCAAAGGGACGATGGACGGCGCCATGTACCGTCAAATCTTGGGTGAGAACCTCCTTCCCTCAGCCAGGGCATTGAAAATGGGTCGTGAATGGGTATTCCAGCATGACAATGACCCAAAACACACGGCCAAGGCAACAAAGGAGTGGCTCAAGAAGAAGCACATTAAGGTCCTGGAGTGGCCTAGCCAGTCTTCAGACCTTAATCCCATAGAAAATCTGTGGAGGGAGCTGAAGGTTCGAGTTGCCAAACGTCAGCTTCGAAACCTTAATGACTTGGAGAAGATCTGCAATGAGGAGTGGGACAAAATCCCTCCTGAGATGTGTGCAAACCTGGTGGCCAACTACAAGAAACGTCTGACCTCTGTGATTGCCAACAAGGGTTTTGCCACCAAGTACTAAGTCATGTTTTGCAGAGGGGTCAAATACTTATTTCCCTCATTAAAATGCAAATCAATTTATAACATTTTAGACATGTGTTTTTCTGGATTTTTTTGTTATTCTGTCTCACTGTTCAAATAAACCTACCATTTTTAAAATTATAGACTGATCATATCTTTGTCAGTGGGCAAACATACAAAATCAGCAGGGAGTCAAATACTTTTTTCCATCACTGTATGTGTGTGTATATATATCTCAGATTGTTCAATTAAACAAAGCACAAAGTCTATGACTCAAAGAATTGCAACAACTAAGACATCTGTGGAACATAAACATGTGCTTATTTTTCCCCTCTCTCTGTAGGCAACCAGTAGAAAAGTTCAGACCAACTCTCAATCACGGATCTTCTGGCTGGGTCTGATTGTGTGTCCCGTCCTCTGGGGCATCTTTGTGTTCAGTACTCTCTTCTCCTTCAAGTTTAAGTGGCTGGTAGGTTCAGTGCCTTTCCTTCCTCCATTTGAATTTAGACATCTCTAATTTCCCACTGCATAATTAATATTTCAAACCTAGTATGAAGCTAGCAATATGATTTGACCTTAAAGACACATGCATTGTTTGGGTTCTCAAAGAAACATACCGCATTAGCATCGAACAGCACCCGCGATATGCAACTTTTCAGGGAAGTGAGGAACCAATATACACAATCAGTTAGGAAAGCAAAGGCTAGCTTTTTCAAACAGAAATTTGCATCCTGTAGCACTAAATCCAAAAAGTTTTGGGACACTAAAGTCCATGGAAAATAAGAGCACCTCCTCCCAGCTACCCACTGCACTGAGGCTAGGAAACACTGTCACCAATGATCATCTACGATAATCGAGAATTTCAAAAAGCATTTTGCTACGGCTGGCCATGCTTTCCACCTGGCTACCCCTACCCCGACCACCAACTCTGCACCCTCCGCTGCAACTTGCCCATGCCCCCCCCCGCTTCTCCTTCACCCAATTTCAGATAGCTGATGTCCTGAAAGAGCTGCTTAATCTGGACCCCTACAAATCAACTGGGCTAGACAATCTGGACCCTTTCTAAAATTAGCCACCGAAATTGTCGCAACCCCTATTACTAGCCTGTTCAACCTCTCTTTCGTATCGTCTGAGATCCCCAGAGATTGGAAAGCTGCTGCGGTCATCCCCCTCTTCAAAGGGGGTAATACTCTAAATCCAAACTGTTACAGACCTATATCCATCCTGCCCTGCCTTTCGAAAGTATTTGAAAGCCAAGTTAACAAACAGATCACCGACCATTTCGAATCCCACCGTACCTTCTCCGCTATGCAATCTGGTTTCCGAGCTGGTCATGGGTGCACCTCAGCCACGCTCAAGGTCCTAAACGATATAATAACCGCGATCGATAAAAGACAGTACTGTGCAGCCGTCTTCATCGACCTGGCGAAGGCTTTTGACTCTGTCAATCACCGCATTCTTATTGGCAGACTAAATAGCCTTGGTTTCTCAAATGACTGCCTCGTCTGGTTCACCAACTACTTCTCAGATAGCATTCAATGTGTCAAATCGGAGGGCCTGTTGTCTCGACCTCTGGCAGTCTCTATTGGGGGTCCACAGGGTTCAATTCTCGGGCCGACTCTGTTCTCTGTGTATATCAATGAGGTCGCTCTTGCTGCTGGTGACTCTCAGATCCACCTCTACGCAGACGACACCATTTTGTATACATCTGGCCCTTCATTGGACACTGTGTTAACAAACCTCCAAACGAGCATCAATGCCATACAACACTCCTTCCGTGGCCTCCAACTGCTCTTAAATGCTAGTAAAACTAAATGCATGCTCTTCAATCGAACGCTGCTTGCAACCGCCCGCCCGACTAGAATCACTACTCTCGGCGGGTCTGACTTAGAATATGTGGACAACTACAAATACCTAGGTGTCTGGTTAGACCGTAAACTCTCCTTCCAGACTCACATTAAGCATCTCCAATCCAAAGTTAAATCTAGAATCGGCTTCCTATTTCGCAAAACAAAGCCTCCTTCACTCATGCTGCTAAACATGCCCTCGTAAAACTGACTATCCTACCGATCCTTGACTCTACTCAGCAAATTGGATGTAGTCTATCACAGTGCCATCCGTTTTGTCACCAAAGCCCCATATACTACCCACCACTGTGACCTGTACGCTCTCATTGGTTGGTCCTCACTACATATTCGTCGCCAAACCCACTGGCTCCAGGTCATCTATAAATCACTTCTAGGCAAATCCCTGCCTTATCTTAGCTAATTGGTCACCATAGCAACACCCACCCGTAGTATGCATTCCAGCAGGTATATCTCACTGGTCATCCCCAAAGCCAACACCTCCTTTGGCCGCCATTCCTTCCAGTTCTCTGCTGCAAAAATCTCTGAAGCTGGAGACACTTATCTCCCTCACTAACTTTAAGCATCAGTTGTCAGAGCACCTTACCGATCACTGCACCTGTACACAGCCCATCTGAAATTAGCCCGCCCAACTACCTCATCCCTATATTGTTATTTATTTTGCTCATTTGTACCCCAGTATCTCTATTTGCACATCATCTCTTGCACATCTATCATTCCAGTGTTAATACTAATTGTAATTATTTTGCACTATAGCCTATTTTATTGCCTTACCTCCATAACTTGCTAAATTTGCACACACTGTATATATATGTATTTTTGTTTTTTTGACTTTGTTTTGTTTTACCCCATATGTAACTCTGTGTTGTTGTTTTTATCGCACTGCTTTGCTTTATCTTGGCCAGGTCGCAGTTGTAAATGAGAACTTGTTCTCAACTGGTTTACCTGGTTAAATAAAGGTGAAAAAAAAAAAATATATATATATATAAAAAAAAGACTGGAACGAACTGCAAAAATCTCTGAAGCTGGAGACACTTATCTTCCTCACTAACTTTAAGCATCAGTTTTCAGACCAGCTTACCGATCACTGCACCTGTACACAGCCCATCTGTAATTAGCCCACCCAACTACCTCATCCCCATATTGTTATTTACATTATTTATTTTGCTCATTTGCACCCCAGTATCTCTATTTGCACATCATCTTCTGCACATCTATCACTCCAGTGTTAATACTAAATTGTAATTATTTTGAGCTATGGCCTATTTATTGCCTTACCTCCATAATGTACTACATTTGCACACACTGTATATAGTTTTTCTATTGTGTTATTGACTGTACGTTTTGTTTATTCCATATGTAACTCTGTGTTTTTATAGCATTGCTTCATCTTGGCCAGGTCGCAGTTGTAAATGAGAACTTGTTCTCAACTGGCTTACCTGGTTAAAAAAATCACAACGCATTGCATTTTTATGTCATGTCCTCTTGCAGGCAGTGGTGATCATGGGTGTGGCTTTGCAGTGGGCCAACCTGTACGGATATGTGCGATGCAAAGTAGGCGGGAAGACCAACTTGAGGAGCATGGCAACCAACTACCTTGGCAACCAGTTCTTCAAACCGGTATATAGTTCTCATTTAAAAACAGATCATATTAGACATTTCAGCTCATAGGTAGCAATTTGGAGGATAATGCATAATATTGTCTACAATTGTATTTCTCTTTTGAGATCGGGTTCAGTTGCAACATGGACTATTTTGTCTGTGAAAATATAGGGATATGATATTTCTGCCATCTAAACCTTCATATGTTTGTTCTTTTTATAGGCAATGGCCAAACAGGGACCCTAGAGGTGGACGTGCAGAGAGAAGAAACATTAGCATTGCTGCTAATGTCATATTTTATGTTATCAAGAGGATCCAGCCTTGCTTTAACTGATGCGTAGGCTACTGTTATTTTTCTTAATTCCTGTTGGACAGGTGGAAGGAATCTCTCTATTCTGAGGGAACAGGGTTGTTTCCTACAGAGTCCTACAAACTGTGTAGTTTCAAACTAAGATACTACTAGGTTTCTTTGTATGTTGGTTTAATTTGTTTTCCTGCTAACAGCCTTGTTAATGATTGAAAACTGCTGATTGTAATATAAGACTTTTGTAAATATTATATTTACATTACATTTATGGGTGAATGAATAAGAAAAAAAACGTGTCAAGTGAGTTCTTTTAATATCAGGCAAAAACATTCCACAGTGGACACTGAATGCAGCCAAGCCAATGGAATTCCTCCTTGGAAGTTTGGCACGAAGAAGCTCAAGCCACGTGACCAACCGTCAACAAACCCTTTCATCTGTGGTTCAGTTGGCTAACTAATTTACCTGGCAGGGGGTGAACAGTGTTACAAATGCTTGACAATAAAATAGTGAAGTTATACCTAATAAGATAAGGGAATTGTTAACAGAATGACTGCAACAGAAGAAACATCTTTGTGGAGAGGGAAGCTTGAGGAGAAGCTCAAACAAGTAGGCTCGCTGGCTAGTTGCAGTAGCTAGCTTTAGCAATTCAATTTAACATCAATAAGCTAGGACTGACATTAGCAGCTGTAGCTTGTTGCTAGTAACAAGCCTGGATTAGGGTGTCATTCAGACCACAAAATGGCTAGTGAACACTTCACACTTCTGTCCTAATATTATATGACATTGCTAGCTACAGTAGTAGACTTACTGTTAACATTTTGATTATTTGAGAAGTCACTGTAGCCGCGTTAAATGGGACAATATTTGCTGTAGCTGTAGGAAGAGCTAGCCAAGTTAGCTTAAGATAACAAGCTAGCTACTATCCGTTTTCTTATCAAGGATCAAGATCTGCTGACATTCGTTAGTGATAGCCTCAAAAGAAGTGATCAGCTGACTAAAGGCATGGTAAGCTAAATCTGAAAGCAAAGCAACCTTGAATCCTTCACAGATATCTAATCAGAACTGAGTACCACACCTCAAATGTTCTACTACTTGAGTTCCTGCACCTCTTACAGAATATGATTAGCTAAAAAGTATTGCGGAGTTCATGGATTGGATTGCAAATAAAGTAGAGTTCAAATGCCATATCTTTTTAAGATAGCTACAGTTCTATGCAAGCTTGACATGAGACAGTGTAGCTAAAGGTTTGGTGTCCAAGGTGTCCATTCTCTCATCGTTCGAGGGCCGTCTGGAGCACCTGGAGAACTCGGTCATTCCCATGCATGACAGCACACAGAACCTACTGCAGCTGAAGGGGACAATGCAGAAGACATTATTCTACCTGGACGATGCCATCAGTCATTACCAAGCCGTCCGAGACACAGACAAGGTCATCATACAGGGGTGAGAGTAAGGAGCATGATGACACACACACAAGCCCCATATTTGACCTTGTATACCCTATTCACAATACTGGCCGGAATTGGCCTGCACTGGCCTGGTTAGGTTATACTTAGTTGCTGGAATTACACTGGAAAAGGACAATGTGAAAAGAAATGAGCCAAGCCAGCACAGTTCGTTTTGGGAAGGCACGATAGAGTGAAAAGAGTACTACTGACGTTCATTTGAATAGAGGTTCAGTATGGGTCAAGGGAGAAGGAGAGGGAGAATAGTCCTATTTGTGTCAAATACATGACTGATCAACTGATCATTTTAGAATGAAATACATTATATTTTTCTGTATGTACATGTGTTTCTTTGCAAAGGCCTGCAGGAAGACTGTCTGACTATCTAGCCTGTGTTCACCGACTCAAGAAAGCAGAGGAGTACTTTCAACAGGAAGACCCGGACGGGCCTGAGCTGAATATGCTGGTAACACTGTCTTCATGTATTTCTCTTACCATCTGTCCTTCAATCAAGTCAGGTTCTCTTTGTAGAAGTATGAATACTATCAAACAGTTGGACAACAGAATAGAGAGTGATGCTTTGCTTCAGTGAAAGGGTGCTCATTAGTCACAAAATGCCTTATTTTACTAGAAGAGATGATCCCTATTAAATCACTATAGTCAATATCCAATAACTGTTAGATTTAAATCACTATAGTCCAATAACGGTTAGATCCTCCAATTTGAACGTACAGCACACACTGAGTGTACAAAACATTATGAACACCTGCTCTGTCCATGACAGATTGACCAGATAAAAGCTGCAATCCCTTATTGATGTAACTTGTTAAAGCCACTTCAATCAGTGTAGATGAAGGGTGAGGCGACAGGTTAAAGAAGGATTTTTAAGCCTTGAGACAATCGATATGGATTGTGTATGTGTGCCATTCAGAGGGTAAATGGGCAAGACATAATATTTAAGTGCCTTTGAACGGGGTATGGTAGTAAACCAAGGTCTCTAAACCAAGGTCGGGTTCAATTTCAGGAAGTCCCCTGAAATTCCAATTATCTTCAATGCTTTTCAATTAGGAACATTTGGAATAGGAACTGAAATTTGGTTTACATTCTGAATTGACTGGGTTTGAAATGGAATTGACCCCAACACTGCTCTAATCGTTTTTGCAGAGAGGCCGTTTAGAGAGTGCCAAGTCACAGCTGGAGTCCGAGTTCCAAGTCCTGTTGGGGCTCTACAGCAAGCCAGTACAGACAGTCAAAATCCTGGATGTCCTGGCCAAAAAGTCACTGAATGGGTCTGCAGGTGGGGTGGAGGAGGTAGAACTCATACCCCAAACTAGGCTTCAGGACATCATCTCCATCTCCACCTGGCTGATAGGTAAGGTAGTGGTACTGCTTGTTCACCTGTAGTCTGTCTCTGTCACTAACAGGAGGAGGTCCCTACTCTCAGCATTGTTGTCCATGCTGTAAACCAGGGTTTGGGTCAATTCCATTTAAATTCCAGTAAATTCTGGAACTACACTGAAATTCCAATTCACTTCAATGCTTTTCAATGAGGAAAATGTGGATTTGCAATTGGAATTAGTTTTTTTCTGAATTGACTGTAATTTAAATGGAATTGATCTCAACCCTGGTGTAAAGTTAAACCACATAATTCAGTGGAGTCTTGGGTCATGTTCTTTAGGAGAAAAAAAACACATTTTGAAACGCGTCTAATAAGACGTTGCAAATATGTGTTCTACATTGCTTGCACCCTACTGAACCAAACCCGAATGTTAAAGGCAGAGTGCAGCAAATGCTAATGATGTCAGTGTTAATCAAGGTGAGGATGCTAATGCTGTTAGTGTTAATCAAGGTGAGGATGCTAATGATGTCAGCATTAATCAAGGTGAAAATGCTAATGATGTTAGTGTTAATCAAGGTGAGGATGCTAATGATGTCCGTGTTAATCAAGGTGAGGATGCTAATGATGTTAGTGTTAATCAAGGTGAGGATGCTAATGATGTTAGTGTTAATCAAGGTGAGGATGCTAATGATGTCCGTGTTAATCAAGGTGAGGATGCTAATGATGTCAGCGTTAATCAAGGTGAGGATTCTAATGATGTCAGTGTTAATCCAGGTGAGGATGCTAATGATGTCAGCGTTAATCAAGGTGAGGATTCTAATGATGTCCGTGTTAATCAAGGTGAGTATGCTAATGATGTCAGTGTTAATCAAGGTGAGGATGCTAATGATGTCAGTGTAATCCAGGTGAGGATGCTAATGATGTCAGTGTTAATCCAGGTGAGTATGCTAATGATGTCAGTGTTAATCCAGGTGAGGATGCTAATGATGTCAGTGTTAATCCAGGTGAGTATGCTAATGATGTCAGTGTTAATCCAGGTGAGGATGCAGCTCTGACAGCTAAGAGAAGAGTCTCTGCCAGCAAGTACAAAACACAGTCACTGGAAAGAAACCCATCGCACCACTCTCTTGGAAAACTGGAGCCCAGCAGCTTTTTCACCAAGAAGTCCTACTGCTCCAAACTCAAAACGCAGTCTCTAGGCAGAAAGCCATCACTAGAGAAAAAGACATCAACGGACTCTCTTGGAAAACTGAAAGCAAACAGCTTGTTCACCAAGATGCTCGGCCTGAAGTCATTCGGTAAATTCAAAACGCAGTCCCTAGACAGAAAGCCATCACTAGACAAGAATCCATCGCTAGACTCCCTTGGAAAACTGGAATCCAGTAGCTCTTTCACCAAGGTATCCACCTCGAAGCCGTGCAGCACCCTGAAAATTCCTGATATTAGGCACCCATCTTTGGAGTCTATCCCATTTCTGTCTAGAGACTTCACCTCCCATACCTTCCCATCCTACAAACCCAAGCCCCCAGCTTCCACCACCTACATCCTGCCATACTTCAGACCCAAGCCCAGCTCAGCCTTTGGTAAGTTAAACGCAGCCTAGGTGGCATCTACTATTGGGAGGGTGGAGGTGTATGTTCGTCACATTAGTTTTCTTAAATATAGGTAACTGAACTGACGTTTTGGTAAGGGCGATGACCCTCCCACAAGTCCTCTCTGGGGGGTTTCCCTGTCCTCTCCCTGCACAATTATCCTTCACTTCATTTTATTATGTATCTGTTGTATCTGTTTCTTTATGTGCAAAACATTTTTATAGGGCTCTTGTATCTGTAACACGGTCTATGTCTGGCACAGCGGACCTAGGATTTGAACCTGCGTCCCAACAGCACAACATACACACCCTTTGCTCCATTGATCAGTGGCCATGGTGATCAATCACGCTGTTATTGTTCTACAGATATCAAGGCCCACTACGCCAAGGTGCGCTCCAATCAGTTGGACTGCTCTATGAAGGGTTTGAAGGACCACAAGAGTAGGAACCTCCTCTACCCAGTGCTGCAGAGCAAGCACATATATTCTGCCATCAAGAAGAACAAGAAAACAGGTCAAGAAAACCCACCTTGCGCAACACCTTCATGATGGTTATAGACACAGTTACAGCGGATGCTTTTCTGTTTGCACATTTTTTGTGAACATATTAATAAGCATGCCATAGATCCAGGTTTCCCTAAAAAAAAGAACCCTAGATTCCTTATTTCAAAGTACTTCCTGGTTAAATAAAGGATTCCTTATATCAAGGTACTTCCGGTTTAAATAAAGGATTCCTAATATCAAGGTACTTCCTGGTTAAATAAAGGACTCCTTATAGCAAGGTACTTCCTGGTTAAATAAAGGTTTCATTAAACTATAGATAGATGAGATAATATGTTAATGATATTTCCATGGCATTCACCCTTTCACTCCTGTCTTGTGTCACTAGGGAGGGACAGCATATTAAACATTGAGGTTGAGACCTACATCGCCTGCATCACAGCCTTCTTGTCCCTGGCCAAGAGTGAATACACCATGGTGTCCAAAGTCTTCCCTCTGAACTGCACCAATACCTTTGAAACGCTCATCCAGGTCAGAAGTGAAGGATATTAAAATGTAATGAATAGAATATTACAACTTTATTGTCAATGTCTACAAAATGTGGACATTTGCTTTTTGGCTATTATAAGGCTTCACAGTGGCCATATGATACACAAAACAAACAAAGATTTAATATCAGGAGCTCTTCATAATGGAGATCATTACAGCTATATAACCATCATGGTTACATATACACATGGTTATACATCGTACACAACCTGGCTGATTTATTTGGACTCACTGGCTGTAAGGTATCTTGATGATTCTAGTTTTAGACCAATGACGTCGTTATGTACATGGTGTTATGTACATGGTGTTATTTACATGTTATGTACATGTTATGTACATGGTTTTATTTACATGGTGTTATGTACATGGTTTTATTTACATGGTGTTATGTACATGGTTTTATTTACATGGTGTTATGTACATGTTATGTACATGTTATGTACATGGTTTTATTTACATGGTGTTATGTACATGGTTTTATTTACATGGTGTTATGTACATGGTTTTATTTACATGGTGTTATGTACATGTTATGTACATGGTTTTATTTACATGGTGTTATGTACATGGTTTTATTTACATGGTGTTATGTACATGTTATGTACATGGTTTTATTTACATAGTGTTATGTACATGTTATGTACATGGTTTTATTTACATGGTGTTATGTACATGTTATGTACATGGTTTTATTTACATGGTGTTATGTACATGTTATGTACATGGTGTTATGTATGTGACCTTGCACTTTTGTACTTTGTTTATTCATTTTTTTTTATGGTCTTGAGAATGATGTGCTCATGAGGGTGTTTAATGTCTGTTTTTATGTGGTGAAGACAAATTTCCACATTGCGTGGACAATAAAGTTGTTCTAAATTGTAATTGTAATATTTTTTCCTTCAGGTGGCTCTGAACCAGCTGATCCAGAGTGGGGAGAACATTGTGTCCTCTGTCAGACGAGCCTGTTCACGTCACGACTACACAGCCCTCGTCGTCATGTTACCTGTCTTGGGCAGTCTCCTGGAGGAGGACAAAGAGTTTAACACATTACTAAAGGTGCCATATAATACTGAGAGGACAGTTTGAAGTTGAGCTTTCTCTCTATTGTTGTGTGCTCAGGGTCAGGGGGGTCATGGTCAGGGTTGGGGTCAGGGGGGGGGGTCATGGTCAGAGGGTTAGGGTTGGGGTCAGGGGGTGTTGGGGTCAGGGTTGGGGTAAATTCTATTTCAATTCTAGTCTATTCAGAAAGTAAACCTAATTCCAATTCCAAACTTTCCTCCTTGAAAAGCATTGAAGATAATTTGAATTTCAGTGTACTTCCTGAATTGTCTGGAATTGAAAATGTAATTGAGCCCAACCCTGCAGTATACTGAGGGAAATGTATAATTATGCGTCACTGTGATGTCATGTTTCATACTGCGTGTCAGTGCACAACAAGCGGCACCTTGGCCAAGGTCTCCAAACTCATTACATCTATGAAGACCCTGGCAGCCAGAGCACTGGGGGATTTTTCTGCCCACGTCAAGGTACGACATTCTAACCATTCAAAGATTGTTTTAGTTGGAAGGACTTTGAAATATAAAAAATGTAATCATCCAGCAAGGGAACCTCTGACTGGATCGTTGTAATAATATTATTTAATCAGACAGAGAACCGGGTGAGTTTCCCAAAAACCTTCATAGCACTGAGATCATTTTTCGGCCATGATTGTGTACATTCCTATGACGTAAAATGATCTGGAAGCTTTGAGAAACTCAACCAAACCGTAATTTTCCCCTTTCTCTCACAGAGCAACCCTGACAGGGAGAGTATGTCCAAGGATGGAACGGTTCATGAATTCAACAGCAATGTAACAACTCTCTTCTCTGTTATTTCATGTCCATCAGTTTCCATTCAATTAAGTGAATCAGTAATGCTGATGTGCTTATTGAGATTTGTGTAAGGAGAAGGGTGGTTTTGTTCCAGAGGGTGTTTGTGTTTCCTTATATTGTAGTATCATGGGATACTAGACAGTTGTCAGTTTCTCACTAAATACAGTGCCCTCCACTATTATTGGCACCCCTGTTTAAGATGTGGTCGAGGACTTCCAAAAATTATCCTTTTTTTTTTAAACAACATAGAACCGAAATGCAAAAAAAGAGTAAAATCCAACCTTTTATTTAAGTACATTACTTTGGTGGTAAAAAAAAAAATCACACATTTAGAAAAAAAAATAATTGAAATCATGTGTCCCACAATTATTGGCACCCCTAACAATTCCGCTGAAAATTTTAATTGATTTTTTTTTTAAATATATTTTTCTGTAGTTGCTAAAGTTGGTCAGGGTATCTAGGAACTTTTAATTAGTAATTCATGACTTCCTGTTTCCCTGGGGTATAAATATGACGTGACACAGAGGCCTAATTCTCTTACCCATTTGTCAACATGGCAAAGACAAGAGAACACACCATTCAAGTAAGGCAGATTTGTGTCGACCTTCATAAGTCAGGCAATGGCTACAAGAAAATAGCCACTCGCCTTAACTTGCCCGTATCTACAGTCAGAGGAATCATTAAGAAGTTTAAAACAACTGGAACAGTGACAAACAAGGCTGGAAGAGGTCCCAAGTTTATCTTGCCACAACGCACAGTGGTAAGATAAGTAAAAAAAAGTCCTAAGCTCACTGTCACAGAATTGCATCAAAGAGTGGCATCTTGGGGTCACAAAGTCTCCAAAACAACCATCAGACGCTCTCTACATGCCAACAAGCTGTTTGGGAGGCATGCAAGGAAAAAGCCTTTTCTCACTAACACTCACAAACGTAAACGTCTGGAGTTTGCTAAGCGGCACTGGGACTTCAACTGGGATCGTGTGCTTTGGTCAGATGAGACTAAGATTGAGCTTTTTGGCAACAAACACTCTAAGTGGGTCTGGCGTAAAACAAAAGATGAGTATGCCGAAAAGCACCTCATGCCCACCGTGAAGTATGGTGGAGGATCTGTGATGCTGTGGGCCTGTTTCTCTTCCAAAGGCCCTGGGAACCTTGTTAGGGTGCATGGCATTATGAACGCTTTGAACTACCAGGACATTTTAAATAAAAACCTGATGGCCTCTGCCAGAAAGCTGAAGATGGGTCGTCATTGGGTCTTTCAGCAGGATAATGATCCAAAACGTGGCAAAATCTACACAAAAATGGTTCAGCAGTCACAAACTCAAGGTCCTCCCATGGCCATCTCAGTCCCCAGACCTCAACCCAATCGAAAACCTGTGGGGTGAGCTAAAGAGGAGAGTGCATAAGAGAGGACCCAGGACACTGGATGATCTAGAAAGATTGTGCAAAGAAGAATGGTCAAAGATCCCTCTCTCTGTGTTCTCCAATCTTGTGAAATGTTATAGGAGGAGATTAAGTGCTGTCTTGTTGGCAAAAGGGGGTTGTACAAAGTATTAAAACATCAGGGGTGCCAATAATTGTGGGACACATGATTTCAAGTTTTTTCTTTTCTAAATGTGTGATTTTTTTTTTTTACACCAAAGTAATGTACTTAAATAAAAGGTTGGATTTTTCTATTTTTTTGCATTTGGGTTCTATGTTGTTTAAAAAAAAAAGAGAATTTTTGGAAGTCCTCGACCACATCTTAAACAGGGGTGCCAATAATTGTGGAGGGCACTGTATATAATAAAGTATATATATTTTTTATCCCATTTGAACTGACCTAACTAAAGATGTCAATTATGTGAATTGTTCTCTTACTGTCTCCAGACCATTCTATTCCTGCAGCAGTTGCTGTCCTTTGCAGATGCTGTTCGGTCCATCCTGTATCCTCATGATGTAGACAGTGACACAGTAACTATGGAGGTGTCCAGTAGTGTTCAGGTGGACGTTCAACATGACACTGGTACGAAGTCTTTCTCTTTGTTTATTAGAGTGAGTTTTATGTTACAAAACTAGATGCTTATTAGATGGTTGTTTTTTCCCTATTGAGAGAAGATGTGCAGTGTAGATATAAAACAGTTTTCTTCACCAGATGCAGATGAATCAGAAGAACAGCCATCAGACAGTCAGGAGTCCAAGGGGAATGATAGTCAGAGAGCACTGAGTCCTTACGTCTGTGAGTGTTCAACATGGCTGTGTCTAATATCCAGAATTACACCTTTGACAAGGGCAAGACGCCGTGCTGTTGGGTCTTAAGGCGTCAGCATGCTTCAGTTCGGCTGGTGGCTAGCCGAAGTCGGCTAGGTGAACTTAACGAGTGTGCTCGCATACTCCCTTAAAAGACCTTCGCTTGAAAAACAAGACAAAAGCTGCAATAGTACTGTTTGTCCATTTTGAGAAGCCGTAGGCAGTTTACACTTCCTCAAAATAGTCAGAATTAATCTAAGATAACTCAAGAAATCTGTCATTAATTTTGATGTTTTTGCCGAGGAGATCTTAGTCGTGCAACTTTACATCTAACTAAGATGTTTGGTGCAGCAGTGTTTCTCAATGAAAACATGTGCATGAAAACGAGTGGTCTCATTGAATGACAACAAAGACTCTACTGCTGACCAATCACCCGACGAAGGGGCGTAGACTTCGGCTACCGACTTCGTCTTGCCTCAAGAAAAAGATGTGTGTGCCCGAACAACCGAGAAAAAAAACGTACCGAAGTCCAAAACGAACAAAAAACGTCACAAAATGTCGACATAATATATGCACAAACTCTTCCGAACTGTTTTGGCTGGGAAGCATGCGGATGCCTTTAGGCTAAGACAATATGCTGGTTTCTGGCTTTTTGCTCCAAAGAAAGTAAATGAACTACTATTATAAACTGAGTAGTTTAGGTACTGGAGGTCCCATACTGGCAAAAAACTGAATCTACTTTCAACCCTGATAATGAGTCAGAATCAGCCACAGGTGGTGTTTAGTTAAAGTGTCTTGACTGCCCCCATGTGGTGGCTGTGGTTTTACATGAGGTTAATGATTTCCCTTCTCCAGGTAAAGTGCTGGAGCATCTCCAGTACAACCTACAGTGTAAGGCCAAGGTGTATGAGGACCACGCTCTCGGGGCCATATTCCTCCTCAACAACTACAACTACATCCTCAAGTCAATGAAGAAGTAGGCCCTCTTTGTTCATTTCAAAAGTGTGTGTTAGCTTGAGTGTGGATAAACCATTGCTTGAGTCTGGCATTAGGGCCTGGCACATTAATGAACAGGGTCATGTTCATTGGGCAACAATTGGATGTAAACGCTCAAACAGGGAACGGAGGGACCACCTGGACTTAAGAAACGCAAATGTTCTTTTTCAGTTACAAAACATTTTAAAACTTTTTTATGTGGCGTGCCCTAATAAATACGACTCCAGTCATGCAGTTTTCCAACACTGTTCCAGAACGGTCCTGAATTATGAGAAATCTTTATTTGTGACATTAGAGATCCCTAAGGTTGGAATATTAACTAGGCCTACACAACATAATGATCAATCAAAGTGGGCTACATTTTGACTTTCCATGTACTTTAGTTCAGGGTTATAAGTGAATTTGTCACAGCTCACAGGGAGACCAGATATGACAGGGAAATCTACCTGCAGGTCATCTCTGTTTGAAGTGGTTAAAACCAGCGGCAGGGATCCAGAGGTTGAGTACGAGGAACTGATTGAGCAACAGAGGCAGGCGTACCAGCACAGGTGAGGGACCAGGCATCCAGAGGAGGAAGAAGGGAGCCATGGAATCTAATATTGTCTTAACATTAGTCCTGATCATTATGTGATTTATTATAAGAGACTAGCGCCCCCCTGCTAGCCTGAAATCCACAACCTGTTTTGCTAACATTCCACTCTTTATACTCCCTGTCATTGCTAAAACATGTTTTGCATGACAAGGAGTGGAATGATAACAGGAACAGATTGGTAACCAGGTTAGCACACTACTCTTACGGCCGGTAAATTATTTTATTAAATGCAAGTCCCTACTCAAATTTATATTTATCTGTTCAGCATTTCGGACTCTGGATATGCTGCTAATATTCTAAACTCTGGAGTATTTAAAAAAATCACCCATATTTCCTGTGAGATCCTGGCACTTGCTTTCTCTTGGAAATGTAATGATTTTAATAAAATGTCCCCCTCTCCAGTGTGGGTTGACGAATCTACCAGCTCATGTTTGTTGCCTAGGCTCACGATATTACAATATAGATTATACGGTGGTCATACATGCTCATGACAAGTGTCATAATGCATTATAAATGCATCATAATGCATGATACAGTGGGGGAAAAAAGTATTTAGTCAGCCACCAATTGTGCAAGTTCTCCCACTTAAAAAGATGAGGCCTGTAATGTTCATCGTAGGTACACGTCAACTATGACAGACAAATTGAGAAATTTTTTTCCAGAAAATCACATTGTAGGATTTTTTATGAATTTATTTGCAAATTATGGTGGAAAATAAGTATTTGGTCACCTACAAACAAGCAAGATTTCTGGCTCTCACAGACCTGTAACTTCCTCTTTAAGAGGCTCCTCTGTCCTCCACTCGTTACCTTTATTAATGGCACCTGTTTGAACTTGTTATCAGTATAAAAGACACCTGTCCACAACCTCAAACAGTCACACTCCAAACTCCACTATGGCCAAGACCAAAGAGCTGTCAAAGGACACCAGAAACAAAATTGTAGACCTGCACCAGGCTGGGAAGACTGAATCTGCAATAGGTAAGCAGTTTGGTTTGAAGAAATCAACTGTGGGAGCAATTATTAGGAAATGGAAGAAATACAAGACCACTGATAATCTCCCTCGATCTGGGGATCTCACCCCGTGGGGTCAAAATGATCACAAGAACGGTGAGCAAAAATCCCAGAACCACACGGGGGGACCTAGTGAATGACCTGCAGAGAGCTGGGACCAAAGTAACAAAGTCTACCATCAGTAACACACTACGCCGCCAGGGACTCAAATCCTGCAGTGCCAGACGTGTCCCCCTGCTTAAGCCAGTACATGTCCAGGCCCGTCTGAAGTTTGCTAGAGTGCATTTGGATGATCCACAAGAGGATTGGGAGAATGTCATATGGTCATATGAAACCAAAATATAACTTTTTGGTAAAAACTCAACTCGTCGTGTTTGGAGGACAAAGAATGCTGAGTTGCATCCAAAGAACACCATACCTACTGTGAAGCATGGGGGTGGAAACATCATGCTTTGGGGCTGTTTTTCTGCAAAAGGACCAGGATCATGAGATTTTGAGTGAAAACCTCCTTCCATCAGCAAGGGCATTGAAGATGAAACGTGGCTGGGTCTTTCAGCATGACAATGATCCCAAACACACCGCCCGGGCAACGAAGGAGTGGCTTCGTAAGAAGCATTTCAAGGTCCTGGAGTGGCCTAGCCAGTCTCCAGATCTCAACCCTATACAAAATCTTTGGAGGGAGTTGAAAGTCCGTGTCGCCCAGCGACAGCCCCAAAACATCACTGCTCTAGAGGAGATCTGCATGGAGGAATGGGCCAAAATACCAGCAACAATGTGTGAAAACCTTGTGAAGACTTACAGAAAACGTTTGACCTGTGTCATTGCCAACAAAGGGTATATAACAAAGTATTGAGAAACTTTTGTTATTGACCAAATACTTATTTTCCACCATAATTTGCAAATAAATTCATTAAAAATCCTACAATGTGATTTTCTGGATTTTTTTTCTCATTTTGTCTGTCATAGTTGACGTGTACCTATGATGAAAATTACAGGCCTCTCTCATCTTTTTAAGTGGGAGAACTTGCACAATTGGTGGCTGACTAAATACTTTTTTCCCCCACTGGACCTGCAGGCTTTAAGTGAAGTGTTACCATTACGTCATACAGGGACAATGCTAAATCAAGTATCCTATGCTACAACTCAAATACAATTGTATTTGTCACATGCTTCGTAAACAACAGGTGCAGACTAACAGTGAAATGTTTACTTACGGGCCCTTCCCAACAATGCAGAGAGAGAAAATAGAGAAATAATAGAAAAAGAATAACACAAGGAATAAATACACAATGAGTAAAGGTAACTTGGCTATATACACGGGTTCCAGTACCGAGTCGATGTGCAGGGGTACGAGGTAATGGAGGTAGATATGTACATATAGGTAGGGGTAAAGTGACTAGGCAACAGGATAGAGAATAAACAGTAACAGCAGTGTATGCGATGACTCAAAAGGGTCAATGCAGATAGTACGGGTAGCTATTGGTTAACTATTTAACTAACTATTCAGCAGTCTTATGGCTTGGGGTGTAGAAGCTGTTAAGGGTCCTGTTGGTTCCAGACTTGTGGGCAGTCCAATTAATGAATGTGCTACTGAACACAGCTGATCTGTGCAGTGAATGTGTGCTGCTTGTGTGTTGCAGTTGGTTGAAAGTGACTGAGTGCCTGACTGAAAATCATCTGCCCACCTTTAAGCCAGGTGACAAGGTGAGGGTAGATGTTTTGATACCGTATATTAAATTATAAAGTTACACTATCCACCTTTTAGTGGATTTGCTTGCTGTTTTATTCAAACCTAATCACACCTTTCCTATTCTTCGTACATCATCACTATCGGGCTTCAGTTGAAAGAAAAAGACTGTCAGGTGATTAAAGACATGTTCAAGGTAAGACAAGGAAGGCAGTTTCCTCCATGCACCTAAAGGATCTGTGTCAGTACTAGTGATGGGGGGGGGGGTCGATACAGTTACATATAGGGATATTATCTTTGACGATATATCGTATTGTTTTGACAATATTATTTTTGCGCTAGTTTGCTGTGCCTGCACCAAAACTCTAGTATTTTCCTTCATAGCTTCAATTTGTTTTCAGCACTTTTGTATTTCCATGACTGATCAAAACTAGTTTTCTCATGGCTCTCTTGTCTCTCTGCAGCAGACGTATGGGGAGCAATATGTTTGGAACATCGAATCGCAATAAAATCACAGTATCAAATAGCCATACATATAAAATCGTGAGAATCGCAATACATATCATATTGGCACCTAAGTATCGTGATATCGTATCGTGAGATCCCTGGCAATTCCCAGCCCTAATCCATATGACATCTCTACACAACAACCCTTATTCATACTCAAAAACAGAATGATCACAAACGTCTAAACCCAACATGTCAGCTTAGGGCTCGTATTAATGGGGCACCATTTGTAAGATGCTATATTTATGGACACAAAAGATTGTAATATTTGCATTTTCTGTTACAAAACAAAACACATATGTGATAACATGACAGTACATGGCTGTCCACAATCTTTTTTCTATGACCTTTGACCTTGCGTCGTCCAGAGCTTCAACGAGGGCCTGGAGGAACTGTATAAGGCTCAGAAGGCGTGGGCCATCCCAGACAGAGAGCAGCGCCAGGCCATCTGTCAGGCCCAGAGAGAGATGGTGTCCAAGGCCTACACATCCTTTCTGCTGAGGGGAGTCATGGCATATCACAGAGCTTATTACTGGAGACTGCTGCTGAATTCAGCATCAACCCCTATTCCCTATTCCCTAGCCCTTACTCCCTAGCCCCTGTTCCCTAGCCCTTACTCCCTAGCCCCTATTCCCTAGCTCTTACTCCCTAGCTCTTATTCCCTAGCCCTTACTCCCTTACTCCCTAGCCCCTACTCCCTAGCCCTTACTCCCTATTCCCTAGCCCCTATTCCCTAGTCCTTATTTCCTGGCCCCTACTCCCTAGCCCTTATTCCCTAGCCCCTACTCCCTAGCCCTTACTCCCTATTCCCTAGCCCCTACTCCCTATTCCCTAGCCCCTATTCCCTAGCCCATACCCCCTACTCCCCAACCACTCCTGTAGATCTGAGTGGATTGGATGGATACAATCATTATGGTAATACCTTCATCTTGCCTTCTGATTGGCTGAGTGAAAATGTTGTCATATTGCTTCTACCTATCCAATCCTCTCAGATCTGCAAGGGTGGCTAGGGTATAGGGGCTAGGGTGTCCATTTGGAATTCAGCACACATTAGGTGGTTGAATAAGGGATGCTTTTCTGTACTGTAGATGAAACTGTGGTGTACCATGTATGTTTGGTCTCTATGTACGAGATGTTTTTTTTATTCAGCACTGTTCAATAGTGATGTGCAGTAAGAATTTCTTACAGAACGCTGGTACAGTGATATTCCTTTATTATGGTCATTTACCTGTACTTTACACAGATGTGACAATGCTGATTTCTCCAAACACCCTGAGAGATACCACAAATACAGCCCAGCGCAGGTGGAGGAGATGATCGTGAGACTATTTGATATCTCAGCCTGAGGTTGAGAACCTGCTTAGTTAGGTGATAATGTAAGGCCTTCACACTGCCTCTATAGGAAATAACACACTGTTGATTTGTTTCCACACTACTAATACTACAGCTACAGTCTCCATTACATGTATTTATTAGAGTTCTAAGGCTCTATTCTGGGGGATTATAGCACTTCAGTCTCCATTACATGTGTTCATTAGAGTTCTAATTGCTAAATGTATTATTCCACATATGACTGACTAGTTTTAAATATGTTTAAATAAATCTTGTTAAAAGGATCGGACCCTTTTTTTCCATTTTCGCCTAAAATGACATACCCAAATCTAACTGCCTGTAGCTCAGGACCTGAAGCAAGTATATTCTTTATCTTTTGAAAGGAAACACTTTGAAGTTTGTGGAAATGTGAAATTAATGTAGGAGAATATAACACATTAGAGCTGGTAAAAGATAATACAAACAAAAAAACATGCTTTTTCTATTTATCTTTTTGTTGCATCATCTTTGAAATGCAAGAGAAAGGCCAGACAGTTATGTAGGATTCTAGATGTAATTTAGATGTTGTCCACTAGATGGCAGCAGTGTGTGCAAAGTTTCAGACTGATCCAGTGAAGAATTACATCACGGCACAATATTTTGTATCAAGTCTGCTAGGAGTCCAAATGTGCCGAATTGGTTTTCAAGTACGTAACTATAGAGAACAAAATGCTATGGTAATACAAAATGTAAGTTTGCACACTCCCAGGAATGTCATACATGATGGATCATTAGCTTCCCTACAGAAAATACACTAATCGTCACACATCTAGATGGCCGGGCGGGGTGGGTGTGGAGCCAGAGGTCAAACTGTAGAACCCAGTTCCTACATTTGAATATAAAAATGGGAGTTTTCAAACAAAACTACACTACATTTTATCTCTGGGACCCTCAGGATGACAAATCAGAACAAGATTACTGAATGAAGTACATTATTTACCTTCAGAGGTGAATGTCCCATTCAGTTGCCGTGATAAGTGTTGATAAGTGTTTTGTTGTTGTGCACTATCCTCAAACAATAGCATGGTATTTTATAGCTGTAATAACTACTGTAAATTGGACACTGCAGTTAGATTAACAAGAATTTAAGCTTTCTGCCCATATAAGACATGTCTATGTCCCGGAAAGTTGTCTGTTGTTTACAACACTATTCTAGTCACATATCACATATTGAGCAGCAACCGCCCTGTATAAGGGACACCGATCCCGTGGAGGTTAAAGCTCTACTGAAGAATACACACATCTATTTATTTTACCCAGAAACTCAAAAAAACTTTTTGTTATGGCTTGCACATTTTCTGAAGACCCAAATATACCAATATTTCTTGAAATATGGTTGTTAAAAGCGAATAAATAATTTATGGCCAGAATTCTAATTGGTTGATCTCACACCGAGAACCAAAGGAGAAATATAAAATGGCGACTGTATAAACAATGAGGATGGTGAGATAGATACAGAAACAGATCAAGTCTACTTTGTTGGCAAAGCGATGGTGTCTAACTCTTTTCTGGTCTTGTGCAGCCATTTTGTTGAGAAACTTCACCACCTTCTGGAGGGGTGAATTCTTCTCTTCCTCTGAGGCTTTCAGTTTGATGACAGTAATATCAGGCCTGGATTCTAGACAAAGTAAATCAGAGAAAAAAATTGACAACATAATTAAAATAACATAATTAAACAAAGAGGTAAAAATTATTGACATTTTTGTAAAAACCATTCAGGACATAGTTTTCAGTGACAGATTAAACATCAAATGGAGAAGCTGGCCAGACCAGCGTACACACGAGACATGATGGTAACAAGAAAATATACTGGGAAAGATGTCAACTGCAAGCTTTAACTGCAGCTAAAGGGTAATAATGAAAAGGTTGTGCATCAATAAAATACAACTTGACTAGTTTATGGTGATTTAGATTTTTTTAAATGGGGTACCCAGTAAAACTGGTTGCAATAAGGTCATTATGACGTCATAGTCTGGTTATAAATGGTTGTATAAGGACGTTTTGTTAACGTCTTCTTTGGCAACCAGAAAAATATATCTTGCTCTGTGGGTAACTGAGATGACAGAAGAATTTAAAAGTTTACCCTCTTCATTGTCTGTGTCTTTAAGGAGTGAGTCTTTGGACTTGGAGAGGCTGCAGGGCCGGAGAGTGCCACACTTAGCCAGACGTGTGAGCACCATAGACTGCAACATGCTCAACACCAGGATGACCAAACAGAAACAGAATTGCTTTCCTATGGAGAACAACAAGAGAGAGAGATGTGTGATTGTTATATGGTGGCAGAGAGGTGCTGTATACATGAAACCGATGTCAGTGTGTTGCTAACAGTATAGCTTCCTTTACTGTCCCTGTAACATACCGGGCTAGAAATAGTGATCCTCTGCTCACAAAGGATCACTAGGATCACTGTTGCTGTTCAGGATCACTGCTCGCAAACACACGTGACCGTCCTCCTTGACAACGTACCAACCAATTGAGCTATAGAAATTTGATAGCTCCCTTGGCAACATTTCAAGCTAGCTGTGAAAAAAGCCTATGGCACGTTCTTAACTCTGTTACATACACACCCTTTATAACAAAATGCTGTTCCACGCAGAACACTCACGGATGATGGGGCTGCACTGGCCTCCTCCAGGCAGAAGATCCTTGAGGATGATGAGGAACATGATGAAGCTGAGAACCAGTGTAACCTTGAAGGAGATACGCTCGCCCCCTCCCAGCGGCAGGGCAAAGCTCACCACATCAGCCACAATGATCAGTATACTGGGCAGGACCAGGGACAGAAACGGGGTTTCGGACCGCATTTTCAGCGACACCTGTGAAGACAGATTGGTAGGCCAGACTGAAATCATTAGTTTTTCGAGCTCTTGCATCTAAACGTAGCATTTGTATAAAATTGAAAGGGAAGAGCATTACACTCCAAAATCAGACTTTGTCAGATGTTTTCAGAACTCAAAAGAAGCCTAATGTCAATGAGTCCACATGCTTCACCATCGGTTGTGCAGATCCAACTATTCCTTAACCCCAAATGAATGGGAAAAGATACGCACTGCAAATCTGGAAATTACATAGTGCTCATCTTTTCCATTAATTTGGGATTGTGACATGTAGCTGGATCTACACAATAGATAGCCTGGGATGTGTATTTATGGATCTACGCAATAGATAGCCTGGGATGTGTATTTATCTCAACGGAACACTACTTATGAAAGGTATGAAAACATCAGATACATTTTTATTTAAGTGCATTGTATTTTTAGTGTGTAAATGTTGTTTAAGGTCTGCCCTAAAAAATAGGAAGAGTAAAGTATCTTTACATGTCCCACAAAACAAAACGAATGAAATCACCAGGGAGCACTCACTAACCCATAGATAGTTGCGATCATCTCTGCCTCCTTTAGCAGTGAGTTCCACGTTCTCGGTAAGCCAATCCCCGCGGTTTGTGCTAGTCTTGCTCACAGCCCCAAAGTTCAGGAACATACCACATCCTAGAAAGGCAGATATTTTATACTAGTTCACTCATTCAAAGATCATATACCATAGCTTAATACAACAAATCATTTGTTTTAAGGGTGTAAAGATATAATTTTTTTGTTCGGTTCATTTCTTGATATTTGACTCTCTTGTTTTGGTTTTATCTTGGTTCTCAGGAGAGGATGGAAAAAACGATCACATAAATAAATACAAAATAAACGCTTAAAAAAATTGATATGATAAGAAAATAAAGATGTGAACATTTTGATCCCTACTCCAGTGGTGGTCGCCTACTGTAACAAATATTTCAGAGCCACTTTGGTGAAACAACGTCACTGTTAGATCCATAAGAAGCTGTTTGATTCATCCTGGTAGGCATATCCAAACAAAACGTCTTTGTTTGGTAGTGTGTGGTCTCTGAGAGAAGTGCCACATTATTTGCAAAATACAATGTTAAAAAAAAAAGTTGTCCAAATCACCTTTAAGTACCAAACTAAATATGGAGTTGATTTGCAGGATTGCCCCAATCACTCCCATTCATTTTTTTTGGTTAGCAGTGGCTAAAGTTAGCTGAAGTTTGTAGTTGCTGTTCAGAGAAAACTGAACCACAGATTACACTTTCTCCTAGCCCATATACTACTTTCAGGGTGAGGAACCATCTAACATCAAGTTGTAAAATACTGAACTTCCCCTTCAAGTCTAGGCTAAAGCTTACGGGAGTAATCAAATAATAAGAATATGGGAGATTTCTAGAGTGTTCTTGCTTTCAGCATACACACTAATAAAACACTGACTCCTCTCATCCTGTCTCATACTGCACAGAACACAGTTTTTGTCTTTCATTTTATAACAGCCCAGGTCTCACATCTATCGTCATGCAATACTGCTAAAACCATTTACCCCCGCATTTGTCTATTTCAACCTACTGCCTTGAACTATACAACACATAAAAGCTTGCATTTGTTATGTTGTTTATATAATTTTTATTCGTGCTTAACTTATGAATTCACCTTATTTAATTTTGGGAGATACATTAGGCCTAGAGATAGTAGTAGTAATAATAATAACATGCCATTTAGCAGACACTTTTATCCAAAGCAACTTACAGTCATGTGTGCATACATTTTTACGTATGGGTGGTCCCGGGGATCGAACCCACTACCCTGGCGTTACAAACGCTGTGCTCTACCAATTGAGCTACAGAGGACCACCATTGTCTATCTTTATTATCATTTACAAAGGATGGTATAATGGTAGTTTTTTCCCTCCTGAAAACCGAGCCAAGAATCAAGGACTGAACAAAATAAAAATGTTTGTGAACCATTACACCCCTAATATTCACTGTATCCAGCCCACTATCCAGCACCAAAAGACACCCAAAGGCCAATTGGGTTTTAGCATGATACACCGGCCCAAACACGTCTCTGTTACCACAAACTTGGAGGGAAGGAGTGTCAGGTACAATGATTTACAGTGCCTTCGGAAAGTATTCAGACCCCTTTACTTTTTCCACATTTTGTTACGTTACAGCCTTATTCTAAAATGGATTAAATAAAAATACAAATCCTCAGCAATCTACACACAATACCCCATAATGACAAAGTGAAAACAGGTTTTTATAATTTTTTGCACATTGATTAAAAAATACCTTATTTACATAAGTATTCAGACCCTTTGCTATGAGACTTGAAATTGAGGTCAGGTGCATCCTGTTTCTGTTGATCACTCGGCCAAACTGAGCAATCGGGGGAGAAGGGCCTTGATCAGGGAGGTGACCAAGAACCCGATGGTCACTCTGACAGAGCTCCAGAGTTCCTCTGTGGAGATGGGAGAACCTTCCAAAAGGACAACCATCTCTGCAGCACTTCAACAATCAGGCCTTTATGGTAGAGTGGCCAGACGGAAGCTGCTGTGGGGGATTATTTTCAGCAGCAAGGACTGGGAGACTAGTCGGGATCGAGGGAAAGATGAACGGAGCAAAGTACAGGAGTGACTTCGGGACAAGTCAATGGATGTCCTTGAGTTTTCCAGCCAGAGCCCGGACATGAACCCGTTCGAACATCTCTGGAGAGACCTGAAAATAGCTGTGCAGCGACGCTCCCCATCCAACCTGACAGAGCTTGAGAGGATCTGCAGAGAAGAATGGGAGGAACTCCCCAAATACAGGTGTGCCAAGCTTGTAACGTCATACCCAAGAAGACTTGAGGCTGTAATTGCTGCCAAAGGTGTTTCAACAAAGTACTGAGTAAAGGGTCTGAATAGTTATGTAAATATGATTTTTCATTTTTTCATTTTTAAGAAATTTGCAAAATATTCTAAAAACCAGTTTTTGCTTTGTTATTATTGAATAACAGCTTCATACATGGATAAACAGATAGTCCCCCAAATAAATCTAAAGGTAGTAGGTAAGTAGGGGTAAGCTACATGTAGTGTTGAGTAAAGCTTAACCATGTATTAGATCGTAGGTAGGTAGTTAGCTGTAGTTAGGTATTGTATTTATTGTAGGTTAGTATTGTTGTTATTGTAGCTTTCCGTGGGTAATTTGTGGGTTAGTTTCGAGGCATGAGGCTAGCTAGCTAGCGGGTAGCTATTGGTAACGATTAGCAACGCTGGAGAGCTGGTTCCAACGGTAATGTACTCCTACCCAACGTTTAACTTTTGCTTAACCATGTATTAGATCGTAGGTAGGTAGCTAGCTGTAGTTAGGTATTGAATTTATTGTAGGTTAGTATTGTGGTTGTAGTAGCTTTCCATAGGTAATTGTGGACTAGTATCGAGGCACGAGGCTAGCTAGCTAGCGGGTAGCTATTGGTAACGATTAGCAACGCTGGAGAGCTGGTTCCAACGTTTAATTATTATTATTATTATTATTATTTTTTTTTTTTTTTTGCTGCGTTGTGAAGGGAACTCGACACGGACTTGAATTGTCTGTTTGGTGTGCTGACACACTCTTGGCAGTTTGTTGTGGCCAGGTGTTGATGCTAAGTTGTGTGTTAATGGATGCTAGCTTGCAGGTTGGCTACGGCGTCATAGCTAGGCTTCGTGGGTTGTTGTGGGTAGTTACTGTGTCTTGGCAGTGTCCTCGGCCGTGCCAGCTGTAGCACGAAGCTAGCTAGCTAGCCGTTCTTCAAACAGAGTCGACACAGTGGCCATTGCTAGCTACCCAACATGACCATTTGGCTGTACTGTAGTAGCTAACCACAATTTACTTGTCCTAGCTAGCCAACGTCTAATCATTGCTGCGTCATATAAGGAACTTGACACAGACACGAATGATCTGTTTAGTGTGATATCACAATATTGGTGGTTTGTTGTGACCAAGTGTTGGCGCTAAACGGTGTGTTATTGTTATTGGATGCTAGTCTGCTAGTTGGCTATGGAGTCATAGTTGGCTAGCTGAACAAAGTGGGTTGAGTCTACTCCTTTAAACATTGAACCGCTGTGGTTCACAACAATTCTGATTTCCAAAGGCGGAAGTTGGGAGAGTTTTTGTTCGGGTGGTTCAGTGAAACAATTTTAGTTTCCGAGCTAGAAGATTTGGTGAGGGAGGCCCTGCTCTCTCCACTCCCAGATGCTTAGCCCATTTCATTCCGATCTCCTCTGCATTTTTGTAGCCATTTGCTACAGCCTGTCAACTATGCCTCTGCCTATCCCTGTTCTCTCCTCTCTGCACAGGCTACACAAACGCACCACACCGCGTGGCTGCTGCCTCTCCAATTTGGTGGTCCCTGCACGCACCACCCACGTGGAGTTCCAGGTCGCAGGCAGCCTCTGGAACTGCCGTTCTGCTGCCAACAAAGCTGACTTCATCCCAGCCTATGCCAACCTCCAGTCCCTCGACTTCCTGGCGCTGACGGAAACATGGATCACCACTGAAAACACCGCTACTCCTACTGCTCTCTCCTCGTCTGACCATGTGTTCTCGCATACCCCGAGAGCATCTGGTCAGAGGGGTGGTGGTACAGGAATCCTCATCTCTCCCAAGTGGACATTCTCAATTTTTCCCCTAACCCATCTGTCTATCTCCTCATTTGAATTCCATGCTGTCACAGTCACTAGCCCATTTAAGCTTAATATCCTTGTCATCTATCGCCCTCCAGGTTCCCTTGGAGAGTTCATCAATGAGCTTGACGCCTTGATAAGTTCCTTCCCTGAGGATGGCTCACCCCTCACAGTTTTGGGGGATTTCAACCTCCCTATGTCCACATTTGACTCATTTCTCTCTGCCTCCTTCTTTCCACTCCTCTCCTCTTTTGACCTCACCCTCTCACCGTCCCCCCCTACTCACAAGGCAGGCAATACGCTTGACCTCATCTTCACTAGATGCTGCTCCTCTACTAATCTCACTGCAACTCCCCTCCAAGTCTCCGACCACTACTTTGTTTCCTTTTCTCTCTCACTCTCCTCCCACACTACTCACTCTGCCCCTACACAGATGGTAATGCGCCGCCGCAACCTTCGCTCTCTCTCTCCCACTACTCTCTCCTCTTCCATCCTATCATCTCTTCCCTCTGCTCAATCCTTCTCCCTCCAATCTCCTGATTCTGCCTCCTCAACCCTCCTCTCCTCCCTTTCTGCATCCTTTGACTCTCTGTGTCCCCTATCCTCACGGCCGGCTCGGTCCTCCCCTCCAGCTCCGTGGCTTGATGACTCATTGCGAGCTCACAGAACAGAGCTCCGGGCAGCGGAGCGGAAATGGAAGAAAACTAAATTCCCTGCCGACCTGGCATCTTTTCACTCCCTCCTCTCTACATTTTCTTCATCTGTTTCTGCTGCTAAGGCCACCTTCTACCACTCTAAATTCCAAGCATCTGCCTCTAACCCTAGGAAGCTCTTTGCCACATTTTCCTCCCTCCTGAATCCTCCCCCCCCCCCTCCCCCCCTCCTCTCTCTCTGTGGATGACTTCGTCAACCACTTTGAAAAGAAGGTTGACGACATCCGATCCTTGTTTGTTAAGCCTAATGACACTGCTGGTCCTGCTCACACTGCCCTACCCTATGCTTTG